TTAGATAGTTTTTGAAATTTGTAAAGTGTAATTAAAATTTGATGATGAATAAAAGTTGTTGTTTATTTATGAGTAAAGTGTTGCTATCTTTTGTCAATCGTTTACTATCATTTCATTTTGCATGTTTTGACTTCCAGAATAATTATGTTATGGTATATCATATTATTCAAACTCTCCACAGTCGGCCGTATGTTGGAAGTAGATATGAATCAAGACTGTCATGAGTTGGCTTATAGATGTCTAAGATGTTGGACATAGCAAGAGTTGCTACAACACTCATGAGTGCTCATAAGTTCTGAGTATTGGATTCAACCCACGCTCACTTGTATCACTTCATGGAATTTATCTCGAGTGATCGTGAGACGGTAATATCATATAAGTCTTCAAACCTAGAGATATGAGTTGTTGACTATGAGTTGGTTATACATTGATTGTATGAAAACGCATTGGTAACTCGATGTTATAAAATGTGTCTTTGTGTATAATTTAGCAAGTAGTAGAACAATCATATGAGTCGAAGTTTATCTGTTCCTTCTTGGATTAGAAGCGATATCTGGGCCCCTCGATGATTTTGTTGTGACCTATGTACCGGGCCCGGTCAGAACTAAATTGATGTGTTCAATTAAGTTCTATGTCAGAAATCTAGAAACAAACTGCTGGACAATAAGTAAGACATTGTTCCATGTATTTGTCCGGCTGATATCTAGAACAGAGGATTATATGATCCCTTATCTAAAATGGCGCTTCATAGTTCAACAGAGTTTTAAGTGCAGTTGCCAGCTATAAAGAAGCCTATGGAGATTTTCTATGATAATGAAAGTGCAGTTGCCTTAGCCAAGGAACCAAGGGATCATGGGAGATCCAGACACATCGACAGAAAATACCATTTCATTAGACATCGAATAGAAGAAGGACTCATTGTGGCAAAGAGGGTATCATCGGATAAGAACCCAGCAGATCCCCTCACGAAGGGACTGGGTAGGGTTAAGCATCTTCAGCATGCGAGGCGCATCGGGCTAAAGGATGATATTAGTTTTAGAAATTAGATAGCTTTTGAAATTTGTAAAGTGTAATTGACATTTGATGATAAATAAAAGATGTTGTTTATTTATATGTAAAGTGTTACTATCTTCTGTCAATCGTTTACTATCATTTCAATTTTTGCATGTTTTGACTTCCAAAATAATTATGTTATGATATATCATATTATTCAAACCATCCACAGTCAATCATACTTTGGAAGTAGGTAATGAGGCAAGAATGTCATGAAGGGTCTGCAGTTTGTCTGGGACAAAGGGGCTACAGTGTTCATGAGTACTCCTGGAATAGCAATTCGAGTATTGGATTCAACCCACGCTCACTTGTATCACTTCATGGAATTTGTCTCGAGTGATCGTGAGACGGTAATATCATATAAGTCTTCAAACCTAGAGCTTTGAGTTGTTGACTATGAGTTGGTTATACATTGATTGTACGAAAACGCATTGGTAACTCGATGTTATAAAACGTGCCTTTGTGTATGATTCAACAAGTAGTAGAACAAGCATATGAGTCGAAGTTTATCTGTTCCTTTTAGTCCTTGGAGGATTAAAAGCGATATTTGGGCCCCTGAATGATTTTGTTTTGACCTATGTGTTGGGCCCGGTCAGAACCAAATTGATGTGTTCAGTTTAGTTCTATGTCAAACAAATCGAAAATCGGGAAACAAACTGCTGGACAATAAGTACGACATTGTTCCATGTATTTGTCCAGCTGATATCTTGAGAGCAGAGAATTATATGATCACTTATCTTAAATGGCACGTCATCTTAGTTCCGCGAGAATTTGAAAGAGCTACGATTGTTGATCGGTTCCTGAAGTCATACTTGTAGTTATAGTTATTAGACTTATCCAAGTGGGAGACTGTTGGATTAGGTGTCTAAGTTCATAACTATTTCTGGTATGTACTTGACCCGGTTGGCATGGTCCATTTGGGTTGGATGGCATCATTACACTTGGATAGACAAAATGAGAAAAGGACACTTATGGTTTATTAATATATTATAAGTTCTAATATATTAATAATATTATTAGTATTGATCAAGAATTAATTTGGAATTAATTTGGTGATCAAAAAGAGACTAATTAAATATATGGGGTTGATTGTGTAAATCATCCATTCTTATATAGTGGGCTAATGATCTATGGTTTATTGGATTGGGCTAAATCCATAGGGTGCTCCATGGATGCTTCATGGAGGCTAAAACCCATGATCATGGAGGAAATGAAAAGCCATGTCAATTAGGGTTTACATGGTGTAACCCTACTTGTGACACAACTATAAAAGGACCCCATGAGCTACCAAAATCGACACTAAGTGAAGAACAAGAGGGCTAGCCGATTTTGAGTGTTTGTGTACTTCTCTCAAAGTTATTCCAAGAGTTGTGGTGTTGTGTGAAACACTTGAGGCATCACATTTGGGGGTGCTAGGCTCACAAAGTTCTTAAGGAATCCAAGCAACAAGAAAGGTAAGTTCTTCTACTAGCTTTTAAGTTTTGAGTTCCCCATGCCATGCTAGTTAGGTTAAGAACCTTGGAAAAATCAAATTTGCATGTATCTTAGTAAAACATAGATCCAAAGTTTCTAGGGTTGCATGTACACTTTAGGAGTGTTAGAATGCTCAAAACCCTTCAGCTATATGGTTGAAGAACTTCATTGGAGACCTTAGAGTAGTGCCAGCCATAAAGGAGCCTATGGAGATTTTCTGTGATAATGAAGGAGCGGTTGTCTTAACCAAGGAACCAAGGGATCATGGCAGATCCCAACATATCGACAGAAAATATCACTTCATCAGACATCGTGTAGAAGAAGGACTCCTCGTGGTCAATAGGGTATCGTCAGAAGAGAATCTTATGGATCCCCTCACAAAGGGTCTAAGTAGGATCAAGCACGTTCAGCATGCGAGGAGCATTGGCCTGAAGGACGATATTAGTTTTAGTGATTAGATAGATGTTTAGAAACTTGTAATAGATAAATGTAATTGACATTTGATGATTAAGTAATGAAGAATTATTTATGAGTAATGTTTACTGTCTTGTGTCAATTGTTTACTATTGTTTCACTTTTGCATGTTTTACTTCCAAAATAATTTGGATTATTCAAATTATCCACAGTAGATCATACTTTGGAAGTAAGTATTGAGGAAAGACTGTCATGAATTGGCTTGTAGATTTTCTAAGTGCTTAGACATAGCAAAGGTTTGCTGCAACATTCATGAGTACTCCTGAAATAGGATTTGAGTATTGGATTAAACCCATGCTCATTTTAATTACTTCATGGAATTTATCACGAGTAATTGTGAGACGATAATATCGTATAGTCTTTAAACCGAGATATATGAGTTGTTGTTTACGAGTTGGTTGTGCATTGATAATGTGTAAATGCATCAGTAACTTGATGTTATAAAACGTGTTGTTGTGTATGATTTGATGAGTAAATAGTACAAGCATATAAGTCAAAGTTTATATGTTCCCCTTTTCCCTAACGGGAAAAGCGATATCTTGGGCCCCTCGATGATTTTGTGTTGACTTATGTGTCGGGCCCGGTCAGGACTGAATTGATGTGTTTAACTAAGTTCTATGTCAGACAAATCAGAAATCGGGAAACAAACTGTTGGACATTGAGAATGATTTTGTTCCATGTCTTTGTCCACACGATATCTTGCAGAACAGAGGATTATGTGATCCCTTATCTAAAGGACACGTCATTGACTAGGTCAGAGTTCAACAGCGGCTTTTGAAAGCTACGATTGCTAATCAGATTCTGAAGTCATACTTGCAATTTTAGTTATTAGACTTATCCAATTGGGAGACTATTGGATTATGTGTCTAAGCCCATAACTATAATTGGTATGTACTTGATCTGATAGTAGCATGGTCCTTTTGGGTTGCCTTCACCATAGCAACTTGACAGGATGACTTTTGGAGAGAGAGGTTATTTAATGATTTATTAAGATATTATAAGAATAATATATTAATTAGAAATCATATTATTTAATTAGTATTTAATCAGAAATTAATTTGGTATTAATTTTGGGATTAAAGGAACTGATTAAAAGTGCGGGGACTGATATTGCAAATCAATGATAGTTGCAGTATTGGGTTGATGGACTCCCTTGGAAAGGGTTGGACGAAATCTATAAAAGGACCTATAGAAATCGTCCAAGGCCTTCTAGAAGGTGAGTTCATGGGTTGCTTAGAGCCTAAGCAAGGATTAGGGTTTCCACCCAAAAACCCTAGCAGCCACAACTATTTAAGGACCCCATGACCTCCCAATTTCGGCCACTGCTTCCAAGAGAAACCCTAGCCGAAATTCTACCCTCTCTTTCACTCATCCTTTGCTTTTGGTGTTTGTGATTCCATTAGAGGTGCAACACTTGGGGCACTCAAGCTTTCAAGAGTCAAGATCATCCTTGGATTACTTGTTATTACGAGATAACAAGAAAGGTAACATTCAAACCCTAGTTTTTCATATGGATCTCGAATTGTGTATGCTAGTATTAGGGTTATTGCTTTGGAACTTCTATTTTCATGTATAACTAGAGAAAAACTTATATCCAAAGCAATTAGGGTTGCATGATCACATAGGAATGTTGTTGTGCTCAAAACCCATCACTATTATGGCCCAACCTACGCACGACCAAACTCAGATATGGTGGTTGGCAATATAAACGCTTGAGGACTTCTGGATTGGATGCGTAGTTTCAAGGATTCTACATTCAAAAATTTCTTTTTAGAAGCTTTCTACGTATGAGGATTTCTGTCTTAGAGAGACATACACTTGAGGATTCATGGCTTAGGAACTGTTATTCGTGACTTACGACATAGTAGAGAGACTCATAAGTTATGGGTACTATCTATTACATACTTATAATTAGATATTATATAGTATATACTTGATCTTCACAACTCTCATAAAACATCTTTCATGTTTGATGTCTTGTGCAGGTTTGCCGAAGAGTCATGACAGGCGCTACTGACCGTGCCGACACTCCTGCGATGCTCACTGCTTCTGATGAGGAACCGATTGAGGACATTGATGAGATCGATGCTGGCGACACCATTGGTTTGGACCCTTCCAAGCCTGATTACACTCCAACAGAGCACGCCAGCCCAGTCCCTTCCGAGCCTGACTACACACTAGCTGAGCATGGTCACATCAGCTCAGACTATGAGTCGGATGAGGACGAAGAGGATACCACCAGCTCTCCAGAGATCTCACCACCCCTTCCCACTGATGGGTTATGTGCATAACATCAATCCTATGGTGTACATGCAACCCTAATTGCTTTGATCTCGGTTTTTCTAAGTAAACATACAACATTGAATACCAAAGCAATAAACCCTAATTGACTAGCATACAAATCTGAAAATCACATATGATTAGGGTTAGAAAGTTTACCTTGATTGTTATATAGCAATAACAATCACAATCCTTTTATATCTTGACTTCTGAAAGCTTAGTGCCTCAAGTGTTGCACCTCTAATGGAGTCACAAACACTCAAGCAATAGGATGACTTTAGGAGAGAGAAGATTTCGGCCCTTAGGGTCTCTTAGAAGCATTGGACGAAAATCCCTTAGTCATGGGGTCTATTATTACTTGTGGCTGCTAGGGTTTTAGGTGGAAACCCTAATATGATTGCTTAAGCCTTAAGCAGCCCATGGACTCCTTCCTTAGAGCCCTTTGGACGAAATCTTATTGGGCTTCCCCATAGATTTCGTCCACTCCACTCTATGGAGTCCATCAGCCCATTTATGCAACTATCAATGATTTGCATAACAGACCCCAATTATTTAATCAGTCTCTTTTGACCACCAAATTAATTCCAAATTAATTTCTGATCAATACTAATTAAATAATATGATTTCCAAATAATATATTAATCTTGTAATATATTAATAAAACCATTTTGAGTACGAATTTATTATTCACATAATAAATTCTACTCTCTCTCCTCTTGTCATCCTATCAAGTTGCATGAGTGAAGGCAACCCAAAAGGACCAAGCTCATAATCGGGTCAAGTACATACCAAAATAGTTATGGGCTTAGACACCTAATCTAACACCCACTCCTTCACACCGATCATACCAATCCCGTCTTACTAGTACTCGGGTTAAAAAAATACCCCGAGGAAAACTACGATGATCCCCACTCGAAAGAGACCAGCATCCCTACCAACATCCCCACCTCTAGCAAAGAAACATTGTAACAACTATGATTGTATGCCTCAGATTAGAGCATGGCGACAGGAGGAGGATATCGGTTTTCACTACGAGATAGGGGAATCCTCTACCGCACTAGACCCTATCCAAGAAACCCCGATAGATCAGGCTATCTCCTTCTTGGTGCCACGGACTGCCCAACACTACGATCATTTAGGAGTTGTGGACTCTGAGCATTTCCAGCTGAGGATGACCTCGTTGCAGTTAGAAGAGTGGGTAGAGTACCTAGAGGAGGAGAGGGACATGGTAGAGATGCAAATTATCCTAGTGTAGGACCAGTTGCAGGATGCTCGCGATGATACACAGTTTCATCGACAATTATTGGAGGAGGTTGTCAGTCATACCGAGAGTTTGGAGCAGCAAGTGGATAGAGCAGAATTGAGGATCTCATTTTATGATATTGGGATAGATTTTGTTTACAGAAAGCTAGTGCAGCTTATGACACTTTTGATCGTGTATTGTGGATGATAGACTTTTCCCTAGTATGATGACTAGGAAGAACACATCGATACTTTTTGGGGTTAGTGTATTTAGAAAACTTCGCAAGTATGGAGTACTTGCTTAGTTTGTAACCTATAGGTCTTTTCTTACACTAACCACCCCTTTTGGTGGTCACGCTGTAAAATATTATGATGCATATAATATAATGTGGTTGTATGAAATATGTGTGTTGTGTTATCATTCTACTGATGGACTAAACACTAACACTAACACTCCAAGTCATAACCACTCCCACAATGACTCTAACTATACGAATATGATCAACTAACTCACGTCACGACACTAACTTTAGGAATCAATAAATGGCACCCCCAAGAATAACTAGATCCACCCAAGGTCCCCAACCAGATCAGGATGCCTAATCCACTCAGATCAACTCACCTATGGATGCAGTGGCCATTGAAGCTCTGATAGAAACAACGATCGCTAACACTATGTCGACGTTTGGAAAAAACTGTCACACAAGCTCTTGGATGGGAGCAGGAGGCGAGAGCTCCCAATAAAACAATCAAGGTGCTTAGAGGACTTGCACCTACAAGGACTTTATTAAACTGCAAACCTAAGACGTTCTTCGGAAATAAAGGAGTCGTGGGACTCACAAGATGGATCGAAAAGAGTGAATCTTTTTCTAGATTAGCTCTTGTCCTAAGGAATGCAAGGTGAAGTTTGTCGCTTGCACCTTCGTTGATACGACCATGTCTTGGTGGAACAGCCACGTCAAGACAATGGGCCTCGCCAATGCAAATGCCTTATCTTGGGAACAACTCAAACAAAATTCTTATCGAGGAAGATTGCCCTAGGTAGGAAATACAGCGATTAGAGCAAGAGTTATGGAACCTGACCATGACCAACGCCGACATCTCAACCTACACGAATAAGTTCAATGATCTCACAACTCTCTGTCCCAGTTTTGTGGATCCAGAGTACAAGAAGGTTGAAAGATACATATGGGGTTGGTTCAACCCATACAAGGGTTGTTCACGGCATCTCAACCAACGATGTATGACAGTGCCAAGAGGTTGGCGTTCAGTTTAACCAACCAAGAGATAAGACGTGGCACTTTGTTCCAAACGGCAGACCTCCCGAAGTCAGGAGAGAATAAATGAAAATCCGGAAATGGATTTAAGGGTACTTCCAAGCAGGCTCTGAGTAAGAAATAGGAGACTGTCAAGGCATATGTAGCCACTCCAGCCCCAACATCGGTAGAAGCCCCCACCCCTCAAGGACAGTACGCGGGAAAACACCCAAAATGCAACCTATGCCAGTACCATCACTCGGGAAACTGCATGTTCTGCAGCAAGTGCAATAGGAAAGGGCATACCATCATGTATTGCAAATAGCTTGCGACTGCGCCTACCACCATGACCAATCCAGGGACTGTTGTCGTGCCTGAAGGTCGAGCTTGTTTTGAATGCGTAGTAACTAGTCACATCAAGAGGAACTGCCCAAAACTAAGGAATAATGAGGGAAATGATCGGGGTAGAGCATTTGTGATTGGCGCAAGGGACGCCGTATAAGACTCGGCCCTTGTAACATGTACGTTTCCTGTTAACGGTTTATACGCAACTACACTCTGTGATTCTGGTGCTGAGAAAAGCTTTATTACACCTAAGTTTAGAGAAATTTCATGCCATAAGTCTAAGATCCTAGATGAGCCTTACATAGTAGAAATGGCTAACGGAGAATCTAGTAGTACTCAGGAAATATTAGAAAGTTGCCTTCTAACTCTAAACGACCACACCTTTCACATCGACATCATGCCTATGATCATCGGGAGCTTCAATGTCATAATTGGCATGGATTGGCTGTTACCGCACGGAGCTGAAATCCCATGCTACAACAAAGCAGTACAATTATCTTTTCCTAACAGAGAATACTTATTGATCTACAGAGATAAGCCGAGCAAAAACCTTAGAATTATCTCTTGCATGAAGGCGCAGAAGTACCTTCACAAGAATATTATGCATTCTTAACTCACGTCGTAAACAATAGGGGAGAGAAGAAGGAAATCAAAGACATTGATGGGTTTTGAGCATTCTAACACTCCTAAGTGTACATGCAACCCTAGGAAACCTTGGATCTATGTTTGTCTAAAATACATGCAAAATACTTTTTCCAAGGTTCATAAACCTATCTAGCATACATGGGGAACTTTAAACATAAAAGATGGCTAGAATTACATACCTTGTAGTTAATATGATTCCTTGAAACCTTGAGAGCCTAGCACCCCAAGTGTGATGCCTCAAATGTTTCACACAACACCAAATGCTTTGGAATGACTTTGAGAGATATGTAGAACACTTGAAAAATCGGCCTAGCCCTCTTGCAACTACTTGTGTAGCCAATTTTGGTAGATAACATGTTCTTTATATAGTGTGTTACATTTAGGGTTACACCATGTAAACCCTAATGTAACATGGCTCTTCATTTCCATGACCCATGGGTTTGTAACTCCCATGAAGCATCCATGGAGCATCCTATGGACCTTAGTCCAACTTCATAACCCATGGAGCCTTTTAGTCCACTATACAAGTTATGGATGATTTACACAATCAACCCATATATTTAATTAGTCACCTTTTGATCACTTAATTAATTCTAGATTAATTCTAAATCAATACTAATTAAATAATACTATTAATATATTAGAACTTATAATATATTAATAAACCACAAGTGTTCTTTCTCTCATTTAGTCTATCCAAATGCATGATGCCATGCAACCCAAATGGACCATGCCGGGTCGAGTCAAGTACATACCAGAAATAGTTATGGACTTAGACACCTTATCCAACAGTCTCCTACTTGGATAAGTCTAATAACTATAACTGCAAGTATGACTTCAGGAACCGATCAGCAATCGTAGCTCTTTTCAAGGTCTCTCGGAACTGAGGAGATGATGATACGCCATTTAATATAAGTGATCATATAATCCTCTGTTCTAGATATTATCCGGACAAATACATGGAACAATGTCTTACTTATTGTCCAGCAGTTTGTTTCCCGATTTCCGATTTGTTTGACATAGAACCTAGTTGAACACATCAACTTAGTTCTGACCGGGCCCGGTACATAGGTCAAAACAAAATCATGGAGGGGCCCAGATATCGCTTCTACTCCAAGAAGGAACAGATAAACTTCGACTCATATGCTTGTTCTACTACTTGTTAAATCAAACACAAAGGCACGTTTTATAACATCGAGTTACCAATGCGTTTTCGCACGATCAATGCATAACCAACTCATAGACAACAAGTCATATCTCTAGGTTTGAAGACTTATATGATATTACCGTCTCGCAATCACTCGAGATAAATTCCATGAAGTGATACCAGCGAGCGTGGGTTGAATCCAATACTCAGAACTTATGAGCACTCATGAGTGTTAAGGCCATGTCCAATATCTTAGACCTCTACAACCAACTCATGATAGTCTTAATTCATATCTACTTCCAACATATGACTGACTGTGGATAATTTGAATAATATGTAAAAACACAACATAAATATTCTGGAAGTCAAAACATGC